TAGGGCTTATTTTCAAGTTAGGTCTTATTTTCTGGGAAACATAACATTTTCTTCTTTGTGGAAGGTTGTTTTCTTTTATGGTCAGCGTAAGGCCTTTTAGGTTTACATATATTTTAATGGAGTAGCAAATGTAAATACATAATGGTTGCCTTTGCTTTCTCTGGGAGATGCAATTCTTCTTTCCTGATTTTTCACTGAATTGGGATGGTAAGATCATCCCTAGGCATCATCTGAAGGGCTGTTCCCAAAACAAATTCTGCTTGAAACAGAAACATTTCACCTGGGCCACCTTCTTGTTTTCTTCAGTAGTATTCTGGATGGAGACAAGACTTCAAGGACCCAACTTCAATCAAACCTAGACATTCCTCAAGTAACCGAAACCAATTCACAACCATGCCCAACATTCCACCGGATCAAATTATGAGAATCTGTTATCCAGGCAAGGATCTGGGTGCTGATTTAAGGAAACAAAGGTTATAGTTTTCATGTTGTTTTAAATACTAAGTGCTAGTACTTTTTAAGTGGGAACTTTCACTTGTGAGCATAGATATATGAAATTGTTGCCTGATCATCTTCCCTAAGAAAAGAGACAACTTCCTTCCACCATGATCAGAGGAACTGCTGAGCTTCAGCTAGAGCATTTCGAAATCAAAAGGGCTGCATGAACATCAGCAGACAAGAAGGGCTCGATGATGGACGATGCTTTAAGGACAATGTCATAGCTCAGTGTTGAGCAGTGGTTCCCAAGCTTTGATATCCCAGGTGTCCTTGGACTGCAATTCCCCAAAGGCTTTTCCACCAGTTGTATCTGGGAATTGCCAACCAAGAATATCTGGGCTACCCAAGCTTGGGAACCACTGGTGTAGAGAATTGCACAACATTCTGGGTAGAGATGTTGTCATCTTTAGCTAAAACAACTCAGACAGGAAGACGAGGTAAAGACCCCATACTTAAGGGTCTCTGGTGACCTGCTGCCATCAGTGAGAACTGCTAATGCTGAACTACAGGGATCAACGTTCTACTGACAGAAGTATAAGGGAGCTGCATATTGAGCTGCTTAGAACTTGAGACAAGAACAAAAGCCTAATGAAGAAGCGGGAGTAACAGGGTATAAACTAGGGAAGAATTTTATGTTTCTGTTTCAAAGCAAAAGTATAGACTGAGTTTGAACAGGAGACCTGTGGGAAAATTGTATGCCTTTAAAATGTATATATCTATGGCAGCAGCAAATGTATATTATAAATGTATATAAATGTATATATCTTTATGCTAGTAGCAGACATCATGCTAAAACTGCACGGTTAACTTCCAGTAAGGATAATCATTAACCTGCTGTCTATTGTCTCTGGGTAATGTAGTTAAAGTGTCTACCCCAGGAATGTTTACATTGTCTGTGTATTTGGAGTTATCTGTGTCTGTTTACTATTAGCTGTCTGTTTACCAGCCTGTCTGTTTACCAACCACTCTGTTTACTGATGCCTGTGTATTCAAGGAAATTACTTGTCTCTGTTTACTAGCACTCTGGTTATTCTGTTGTGTATTCAAGAAATTAGTTACCTCTGTATTGATTAACTAGTGCTGTGGTAGGAGAAAACAATAAAAGAGGAGGAGGTGGGGGAACAAGAGAATCCCTCCGGACAGATGCCTGATGGCAGGCTGTCCTTGTTCATCCGGATCCCGTCCTGAAAAACCACACTCGAGTGTCCTGTGTCTTTTCCTTTCTCCTTGCTGGTAGAGGAGAAAGATCCCTGCCCTGAGGCTTCATCTGCAAGATCCCTACTTCCTCTCATCTTGCAGATCCCAACAGAGACCCAGAAAGGCAACCATGTATAGAAAAAAAAGTCCTAAATGCATTATTCTCTGTGAAACTTTTGAAGAACCTCAATTTTACTAATGAACCATAGCACCTCAAAACTGGCCTATAAGTAATCCTTGCATGGGGGATGAATGGAATATGTCTTCTATTTTATGTATCCCTAGCAACTTTTATTTAGCGGCACAGTGCCTCCGAAATACGGAGACTCAACTTAGCTGACATAGCTTAACAGCCATTAAAAGCTTTATCCTCCATGAACTGGGTCTAATCCTCTTGTAACGCCTCTTAAGCCAGCAGCAACCTCCTTATCTTGTGACAGCAAATTCCAAGCCTTAATTATAAGTTGTACAGAAAAGTTCAAAGATAATAAATGAAAAGGCCGTTTCATTTACAGCTGGAGATGGACAGCTGTTAAGAGGCCTGTTTTTCAGAGATAAAGCTGTCCTTGGCTGTGCTGTACATACTGATTTATTTTGCTGCCTCCTCATCTCAGGTGGTCATCCAAATAGTTTTACAGGTTTCTGAAGCCTCATAAAGTCTTGCAAAATCTGTTCTGTAAATGACTGCAGCAGAGGAGAAAAAATCCCAAGCACATGTGCCTTATGCAATGACAGATTTAACCCACCATGTTGAGTTCATGAGGGAAAGAACTAGGTGCTTCGTTAGGTATAGGCAAAGCCAAGCAGCTGACAAGAGCTTTTCTCTAACGGCTTTTCAAAGATAATGGCTGAAATGAGTCAGGCATGAAACGACTCACGTCTCTTTCGCCCTCCACACAGCAGACTTCTTGTTACAGAACATTGCTTCTCTGTGGTGTACTGAAAGTAAAAAGCTCGTGAGATCCAATGAATGGACAAAGCTTTAAGAAGATGAAGTTCTTATATTCAAGAGAAGGAAAACCTAGTTCAATGACTAAAGCAAGCATCTGCAGATGTCATCCAAGAAGTGTCGGCTACCCAAGCCCTGCCATGTTGGCTGGAGGAATTCTGGGAAATGTAGTTGGAAGAAACGATGCCAAGTTCTTTAGATTACTGATTGATCTGACAGCATAATCTTGTATATGCTCACTTAGATCAATCTCATTATATCAAATGGGGCTTGCTCCCTATTACTGTGCATGCATTTGGAATTACATCTTCAACATAGCCTTTTTCATCCAATTTGTAAAACCGTTTTCAGCAACTTGATCATCAGTCTAACGGTAAGCCAGCTTATTGTCATAGCCAAATAAAGAACAAGGCATAAAGGCTCACTGCTTGCCAGTTAACAGCAAATGTGAAATATGACTTTACAGGATTGTCTTTCAATTGCACAGAACATCAAGCTGCCTCCTCCAGTGCTGGCAGCACCAGACATAGAGAAAGCAACCCTTTTCAGAAACAATAAAAACATGCATTTTTAAATCCTGGTAATTGTCCTGATGTCTTTTGCATCCAGGCTCCCACATGTTGCTGCCCTTTGCCAAGCTCATATCCAGTCTGGCCAGAAATGCCTGCCACAAATTGCTCTGCTGGCAGTTCTCTAGTCCACTTGCAACTGACGGCAACTGCAGTTTCCAGCATGAGAAACAGGCAGAAGTAAAGACAGACAATGAACCAGAGGAATAAAGAGTATTACAGCCAACACCAGCACCAGTCTCTTATTCTTGGAGAATAATGAGAGTTGTAGGCCAAAATATCTGGAGGCCGTCCAGTTAAGTGTAAAAAAATATGTAAAATAAGAAAACGTAATAAACATCAGAAACGGCTATTCTGAAAAAGAAGCAGAAATTTATTTAAGACCATGATCAGGGAATGGCACAGTGCCCCTCAAGTCCAATCTGGGTAAAGGCACCATCTGTCCAAAACCACAGATTTTATACCTTAGTCAGAACATGTGTCAACCACAGACATCATTTCACTTACAAATTATAAGTATACCTAGGGACTTATTTAACATTTTAGACAGTACATTTCATGGTTTGGGTTCATGACTGGTCAGGTTCCTCTTTTTAACATCTGTTGTAATTATTAATTTCTGTGGTTAATTTCGAGACTGCTGCAACAGATTCACAACAGCTTCTTGCTCAGAAGCTTCAATTTTGTAAGAGTTCAAACTACAAATCCTTTCTGCCTGTTATTAATACACTTCTTCACTTAATATGGTTAATAAAAATACTTTTTGACAAGACAAGACAACACTACAATACCGGTCTCCAACACAAAGACCCACTATTCTGACACTGCTTGGCATAAGATCCTCCACAACAGCAGCAGCATCGCCAGACAAATATATGTAGAACTGGATCCTCAAATACTATTTCAGCTGAAAGTGGGTCCCAGATTTGAAAATGCTCAAGACTGCTACAGGAGAAACACTGCAAAAATGTTAGTGGCCTTAAAGGATGCAGTTAGCTGTGCTGTTAGCACTATATCAATACTACTGCTTTGTGAGACAGCATCTATTAAACTCAAAGTAAGTGAGATGGGGCAGGGAAAAAGAAAATGGCCACATGTTCCACCCTAATGAAGACAGGGCCTGCTAAAATGGGCATGACTGCTGCTTTGAAAAGACCTAAAGGAATTTACACAACCATTATACATTATTTTCTTTCAGTTAAGCACCCACATCTCTCAATCATGACAGAAGCCTTTTGTGGAGGATCAAACATTTAATACTGAAGCCTCAGCCTTCTATCTGAATGTTGTTTAGGATACCATCTGTCAAATTGCTAACTTTAACAGGAGCAATTAAACCAGTTCTGTAAAATGAAAAGGACACTGGGGACAGAGATCTGAAGAAAAATTTGTTTTCAAGTTGCAGGCGTGCACTCCTCTGAGCTGAAAATTAGATGAAATTTACTAACTGAAAAATAGGCCTAGGGAGTACTAAACCTTCAATTCCCCGTTCCCTCAAAGTGGTCAATCTTCACAGACTGTCCTGATTTAATCTGTTTTATGAGATGGCTGAAGAACTCATATTACAGGGCAGTTATATAAACAGCTGAATAAACCAGAGAATGGTATGTCATTTTAAAATACTTTCTACTTAGAAAACCCTGGAAAGAGTAGTCATTAGTCAGAATAAACTTGACAGCATGCAATTATTATTGTTGTTGGAAGATTTGTGGAAAAACAGCTCCAACAAATTGGTAGCCCTGTATAATGCATCAATGATTACAAGTGAAGATAATGGAAAAACTTACCCTAGAAATGCCAACAATTTGTTCATCTGGGAGCAAACTGATGCGCACAAAACATGATTCAAAGTTGACATCTTCCTTCTCCATGAGATCTTTTCCCTGAAGCAATGTGACATGCAAAGTGTTGGAGTTCACATTGTATTCCATGTTGACTTCCACTTGTCCAACTGTGAACTCTTGGCCAAAGTTATTCCCAATGGAGGAGATAGAACTGAGGGAATCAGTGGAGATAGATTTTTTCAATGGCCCATAGGGGGCTAACTCAAGATCTTTATTCATCAGTTCCAGAGTGCCCAACTCATTTATGTTTTCAAAAGTGTCATCCATTTTCAGGCTTGGTTTGCGAATAGGAGACGTCCTTTCTCCTGCCTTCCGGAAGTTGCTTGCAGCTCTCTATAGACAACAAGACAACAGAAAACTCTTCAGCACTCATGATTAATTCCAGAATATTTACTGTTGTTCATAAAGCAAGGAACTTTTGTAGGTCCCAAAGCAGGATTACATATTCACACAAATAAAACATTCACAGCAAAGCTGATTGAAACGTGCTGTACATCACATCTTTGAAGTTGTGAAAAAATTATTGCTTCCTTTCCCTGACAAAACATTCACTTTATAAAGAAATCTCTTACTTAAATACAATGAAAAATAAAGGAAATTAAAATGGAAGTAAGAAGTGAGATTTTGCAGCTGTGAATTACTATATAATGAACATCTGAAGTCAAGATCTATGTCAATTCAGACATTAGGATTGCTACTCAGAAGATGCAAAATAAATAAATAAATAAATCCCTTGAAAGATGTCTATATCAATAGTTGTGACTCACAGAGGTGGAAAAAAAACCTATGGCAATTTCTTTACTCTCTTTTTAAAGTCTTCATCACTGGATTGATCTCTAGTCCTCTGTGTGCTTTTATTACTCAGCATCAGAATGAGTAAAAGAAACAAACAAATCTTGTGATGCCTTGAATAACAAATATATTGTTGGATGAGCTTTCGTACGTAAGAGGCACTTGCAAGCCTTTTAAGATGTCATGGGTTTCCTGTTTCTGAAGCGGTGGACTGGCACAGTGGCTCTCAGAACTGAGTGGTTTTATAGATGGTTCTTGTTTTCTACTTTTCATATGTGGTTCTTCCAACACATGTGTAGTTTCTCCTTGGCATATTCAAGCAGACTACAGTTCTTTCCTACTTTAAAATCTGGATACCCATTTTGTATCTTTCATTTTTTTGCTGCATACCAGCTTCAGTTAAGGGCATGCATTTAATGTGGACTCCATTTAATAATAGCATATTAATGTATTCGCAAAGGCCTTCACGGCCAGGATCTAATGGTTGTGGGTTTTTCGGGCTCTTTGGCCGTGTTCTGAAGGTTGTTCTTCCTGACGTTTCGCCAGTCTCTGTGGCCGGCGTCTTCAGAGGACAGAACTCTGAAGCACTCTGGTGTAGCTGGCACTCCCAAGCCAACTACACCGGAGCACAGAGTACTACTCCAGTCCTCTGAAGTTGCCGGCCACAGAGACTGGCGAAATGTCAGGAAGAACAACCTTCAGAACACGGCCAAAGAACCTGAAAAACCCACAACAACCAATAGCATATTACTTGGGGAGAAACTACTGATGATCCATCAACAGTTCTGATACAAACAATTCCTATACAAAAGGTTTCCCGTATTATAGAAGGGAAAAAAACACCAAAGGTGAAGAGTATTTTTAGAATACTTTTGTCCACCAAAAAGCAATCTGTGTACAACACCTTTTAAACTGTAGAATAGAACTGTGGACAGCTAATACCGTGAACAGCAGGCATTTCTACAAAACTGCCTTATATAGAGTTCACCGATTTGTCTAGCCCAGGGGTGAGCAACATTGGTGGCCAATTCTATGTGCCAGGGACCCCCTGGAAGGCTGCACAGATCACCAAAAATGCCAGAAATTTTTTTTAAAAAGACACTGGAAGTGGCTAGACATTCACTTCCGGTTCTGAAAAGTGGGTATTTGGGGGAGAGGTTAAATGGTGCAGGGGGGCTCTGACAAATTTATAAGGTGAATTGCCATTCCTGGAGATCTCATGGAACAAAATTCATTCCTTTTTTTGCTAGAAAATGAGGGAGCTGGGACTAGGGGTGACATGGGAATGCAGATCTCTTGCTAATCATTTAGCCCAGTGGTTCCCAACCTTGGGCAATTCAGATGTTTTTGGACTGTAGTTCCCAGACGCCTTCACCACTAGCTGTGCTGGTCAGGGTTTCTGGGAGCTGCAGTCCAAGGACACCTAGATGACCCAAGGTTAGGAACTACTGAATTCTAACCAAAAAGTTTTAACACTATGTAGCAATGGCTCTGTGGCATTTCAGGCAGGAATGTTTCTCAGTAGAGATAAGGCAGGAATCTTGGTGCGAAGGTTCATGTCAGTTCCTACACCTGGCGCCACAGGTGCTGCATGTTCCTGTCCCCCACCTCCCCAGGAGCATGGGGTTTCTTGCCGCGGCTCCTTGGCTGATTGCCCACTCAGACAAGGAGACAGGACAGGCAAAAGAGGAGGAGGATTTAACCTGTTTTATGAGCTGGCAGAAGAACTCATATTGCGCCCCATTCTCTGAGTGGGTCTTTTGCCAGGGAGGCAGCGGAAGGGAATGTGCGGCCCCTCTGGTTTGTGCCCCTCGCTATTTCTCAGTTCTGGCGGAACTGAAGCAGGGAAGTTATGTATGCAAAAATGCTCTGGCAACGACCATGACATTCCCTAGTGTTTATGAATTGGGAAGATTGATTCAAAGACCACTGCCATAATCAGAAACCCTGTAATCAATATCAAACACCAATTTTCATTCTGAAATCACATTCCTGCCACGGACATTGTACTTCTCTACATAGGCAGCCTAGACTATTTCTAACAAGATAACTAGTTTCAAACCATTAAGCCTTCATCCTCTGCTGGAATATATTAACTTTGACTGAGGATCAATAGACCAATTTATGCAGTCATGGGCTTTCCTGGGTTTGCCAATGTTAACAGCCTCATGGAAGGCTTTAGAAGGGCAGGCAATTCCTGCTTCCCCTCACCTTCTCTCTTTGTCAGTGTCCTCTGCCTGCTTGCCTCAAAGAGGCTCCTCAGACCAAAACATTCCAGTTACTCCTAGGCAAATAGACTGGGAGGTAGCTATCTTAAGCAGGTACACATTCAGTTTGTAAGGTTCCTTAATTTCTGCCACATAAGACTATTCATCATTGATTAAATTGAATGGATTATCGCTAATGTCCAGTGAATTCACTCTTTTAAATTGTCTTCCTCATTTTTATGGCTGGAATCCTACTATTTACACTCACCAGTGTAAGCTCAGCAGTAAAAACCTCAGTGGAAAACTGCCACTAGTTAAGATGTCGACATTCATATTCCTTGTTGAACTCAAATCATGATGTGGAGTGTGACAAGAAATACAAGCAGCAATTTTCTTAATTAATTGCTATTTACAGCTGAAATTTATACTGTTAGCCTTACACTGGCCTACATATTTGATTGGATTCTGGCCTATAGGCTTTACAAATGTACAAGAGATTCTACTCCAGTCTAGTTCTCAACCATCCATGACAGCAAACAATCAAAATCAGAAGGGGTCAAGATACTGAAACCTGGCACATTTAAATTCAGCCCTCCTTCTCCGCACTCTGGCTTTCCCATTTCACAATAACTCAGCTTGCACAGGCCTCATGCCAGATTTGTCTCCCAAATCCACTCTATACAGAAGTGTTGAATGTTGCCATTTCCTACACTTCACATATTTTCTGTAAGAAATGATGGGTGTGTAATGAAGGCACAAGCAACAGAAATCCAACTATAGCCATCAACTAATTTAATAGATGTGTCATTCAGTTTTAATACAAATTGCTTCTCTAAGCATCAACTTCCACAGTGCTGCAAAGCCAGTAGATGCCATCTCAAAAGCTCGGGAATGGGGAAAGCCTGGAATTTTCCATCCAGAATGGACACATAACTTTCTCTTTCCTCGCCACCAGTCCCATTTGAGGATATTACTTAGACATCCGTGTGTAAGAGTTGTCAAAAGGAGCAATACAATAGATTTAGGAGACATTCAGAAGGACTGTTAGGGTATCTGGTGTGCCTGAGGTACCTCTCTTTTGGGATACGAAGTGGGACAACAGATTTGCTGTGAAATGCAACTAACTACAACAAAAATAATGGTTGATTTGAAAAAAATCATAATTATGCATAATATTTTAAAACAAAAACACAGAAGGTTGAAGACTCAAATCCAAATATAAGATAGTCCAAATGTTCTATTTTAGAACATATATGGGGAATATCTGGCCTTCAAGATGCTGTAGTACTGTAACTCCAATTATCTGTCACCTTTAGCTATCTTGGCTAGTACTGATCGCAATTCCAGTCCAACAACAACTGGAGTGCTATACTTTCCTCATCCCTGTTTCAGGACAATACTGCTTTTACATTAAAACAGGGATGGGGATTGTGACCTTCCAGATGTTGCTGGACTAATTGCAGTTTGTATCTTCTTTGGCCATTAGCAGCACTGGCTAGATCTGGAAAAAAAAGGGACGGCATAACTTGAAGTTTTTAGCTCATAATTTATCGGCTATTGTGAAGACTGTGGAGAAAGAGAACAACTAGAAAGCTTGTTACAGTCTGTTAGGAAACAAAGGTAGCTGTATTCTCTATCCAGAAACTATGTGTTAAAAAATAGGCATGTCTCATACACATTAATTTCACAGTTCTCTACTGCTTTTCTGCTAATGCATTCAGTGCAGTTCAGACCGGGAAACTGTGTAATTACAATCCAACAGACATGGTACAAAAGGGAAAAGAAAGAGAGAAGAAGGATATAAATTTATTCAGATTCTTTCTTTCTTTCTTTCTTTGATTTATATCCCGGCCATCTGGTATATTCTACCACTCTGGGTGGATTCCACAGCTACTGCATAAGGAACTCTTGGAAACAGAGAAACCGACTGTCCAAAAGGCCCAATGGAAAGGTCTCAGATTTTCACACCTTAAATAGCCAGGTGGCATCTTCTATGACTGTAACTTCTGCAATCCTCCCTTGGTCTTCCATTGTCTCACCTTGGCTTCCTCACAGCATTGCACTGCCAAAATCATCCACCTTTCTTACTTCTCTGACCATTATACACCCTGTCTCAGAACTCGTCATTCCTGCTCCCATAAATAACAAATGCTATTTGAACAAATAACAAAAGGTATTTCAACGAACAATAAGAATGGTGGCAAGTAGCATTAGCCATTATCACAGTATGAGGAGGAGAAGCAACAATAGTGGCATACGTCCCTGACATGCCCTCACTGTCTTATAAAAGTCTTGGACTCAAGAGGGTGCTCTTGAGCAATTGTAGATACTTTGATAGCCAGACAGATGATGGATGGTGATGACAGACAGAGGGATTTCTCAAGAGTGTCAAAAATTAATTGTTAGTTACCTTTTGTTTGATCTGTGAATATGTAGATCCATACTTTTGTTCCAAGTATCTGTAGTCGTAGTTTGGAAATGGAGATGGTGCAGGATAGCTGCCAGATTTCCAAAGTTTCCAGAGGTTTACTCCAGCGATTCCCAGGAGAACAAGTGCACCAGTAATGTAGACTCCTATTTCCCATCCCGGTGGATTTTTTATGACTGAAAAAAACCCAAGAGTTCTCATAAAATAAGCCATCACTTCTCCTGAGAGATACTTCATCCAGAAATCTTTTGCTGTGGGGACGATTAATAATATATTTTTTAAAATTAAAATAAATACATTTTACACAAACAGTGAGCATACTGGAGCAGACCCACTGAATCAACTTTTACTGAATTTCCATTTATTCAGTGGGTCTTCTATGGCAGTGATAACTACTATACTCCCAACTAAAGAAGTCTTAGAACAATGAAATACATTACCTTCTGTCTCATATTTCCTTTGACACATTAGCAATGCTAGCACAAGATGGAGACTGAGATTCAGAGAACAGATAATTAACTCCTCACCCCCCACTCTGCTTACAGCAAAGAGCATTCCCCCCCCCATTCAGGTCATAGCAAAATGGGATTGAATCTATTACATTACACATTTTAAAATTTAAAATCTGGGCTATAGTATCTTTGTAAAAAGGAACATTTCTTTACAAACTAAACTAACTCTTTGGACTAAAAAAAAAAGAATATTTTGTTCTCATCTTTGCATCCCTTCTTCAGGTTCAAAAAAATCTTTTGCTGAAGAATTTCACACTATGTAATTCCTAATCAATATTTGTACTGACCTGTAAATACTACCATTTAAAGATTCATTTTTCTTCTTGCAGCTTAGATGTTCATGACTTTTTAAACGAATGTATTTTTTTTCTCAGTGATTATCATTAAAATTCAATTTCCTCCCTTGTGATTTAGAAAAATAATGTTTTACATTCTGTTTGTTTCTCGGATACTTTGTTTCCATATTTATCTAATTAATCTCTTCACAGGCTGACTCACAATAATCTTTCCAGCATACATATACACTATAGCAAAGATTTCTACTTTGTATTGTGGATTTCATCCTGGCCCAGAAAATCTCTCCTGCTTAATTCACTCAAATGTGAATATCAAAGAAATAAAGGAACAAATTGTGATCTATGAGAGTTCCTTAAACTAGCCTAGCACATACTTTTTTATACCATGTCTTTTTTGTATATAAAAGATGGTATTTTTACTTGTTTTTGATATACAGTACCTAGTCTTATCTCTTTATTTCAAGCTACAAGCTTGGTATCTCAAGGGAATTTTGTGGATGTTGTGCACCTTGATACAGTAGTGACCAAACTGTTAAGATGTGGATTACATAATGTCACAGGTGGATTTGTAGATGATTGATGGATCATACCCAAACTTGCTCACCAATGATTTCTCACTGTTCTGAAAGGAAATGACAAGTGTTGTTCTGGCCCTGCTGTTGGTCAACATCTGTATAAATGTGACTTGGATAAGGGTGATATTTGGTGATGTTCACCAAATCTGAAGATGCCAGAAGACAGAATCAGGATTTGAGATGTCCTTAACAGCTCGAAGAAATAGCCAAACAAACTAGTGAAGGTTCAACAAAGAAGAATGTGAAGTTCTTCACTTATGCAGGAATCATCAGATGCCCAAATATAAGATGGTGACAGCTTGACATTGTTACCTGCCAACAACGTTACTTCCAACTTACGCTGAATCAGTGACTTCCAAAAGGACCTATCATTAACAATCTTCAATAAATGAAGTCATGTCTTTAGTGTACTAAGACCCTTAGATATTTCTCAGACATATTACTACTGAGCCAGGTGTCACCCATTCTATTTTTATGCACCTGAGTTTCCTGCCATTAAGTAGATATTCAGATTTAGCCCTGCTGAAATTTGTTGGTTCATTTGTTTGCTTTGATCCAGTTCTCCAGTTTGTTAAGGTTCCCCTGAATCTCAGCTTTGTTCTTGTAAGGGGGTGGGGGTATTAGCTCCTTTTTCCAGTCTGGCATCACTGCAAATTTGCAACGCATCCTCTTTACTTTTTCCAAGTTATCTGTATAGTTGCTAAACAACACTGGACCCAGGTCAGAACCATATGGAAATTTACTTATTACTTCTCTCCAAGATGATGAGAAACTACTGATGTGCATTCTTTGGGTAGGATCCATCAACGAGCTACAAATTCACCTAAAAGTATAACTGACTAGTCCAGTGGCTCCCAACTTTGGGCAACTCAGGTGTTTTTGAACTGCATATCCCAGAATCCTTCACTACCAGCTGTGCTGACTCACATTTCTGGGAACTGCAGTTGAAGAACACCTGGGTTACTCAAAGTTGGGAACCACAATCTAGTCCAGTGGTTCTTAACCTTGGGTTACTCAGGTGTTTTTGAACTGCAGCTCCCAGAAACCTCAGCCAGTACAGCTGGTGGTGAAGGCTTCTGGGAGTTGCAGTCCAAAAACACCTGAGTAACCCAAGGTTAAGAACCACTGATCTAGTCTACAGTATATTATACTAGGAATATCATGAGGAGCCATGCTGAAATCAAAATACACTATACCAACAGTATTCCCCTGATGTACCAAGCTTGTAACAATGTCAAAAAAGAAGCAACATTAATGTGGCATGATTTATTTTTGAGAATATCATTCTAATTGTTAGAAATCACAGCATTTTTTCCTAAGTGGTCACACACCAATTGTTTAATGATACATTCCAAAAAGTTTTCTGGAAACTGGTGTCAAGTTGACCAGCTGAATATTGCCCAGATCCTCTTTTTGCCCCCTTTTTATAGATGGGGCCCATATATATTTTTTACCTCCAATCTTCTTGGGCCCCACCTGTTTTCCAGGAACTCTTAACACTATATAGACCAAGACTCAAGACTACATTTTCTTTTAGTAACCTTGAACCATACTCAGCTGGCCCTAGGAATCTGAATTCATGTAAAGGAGAATGGAGTTCACTTCCCTGCATTTCTAGCATGCGTCCCTATAGTACTCACATTAATCCCAGTGATATTATAAGGTTTCAAAGCTTTGAAATATTACTTTTTTAAAACTACAACTCTCATAACCACTTGAAGTAGCAAGGTCACTGGAGGTTTGGGAGCTGTTGTCCAAAACATTAATGTTTTCAAACTCTGTTTAATTTGGCCCTTAAAACCCAGAGAAACAGTTAGAGAAACATGGGCCGGAAGGTGAAGGCTACATCACATGACATGCTGTGATATAACCCTCAATGGTTATTTGGACACCCCATCTGAGGTTACAATAGGTTACAATACATCCTTCCTACCCAACTAGAAATTAGCCCAGAAAATGGCTGTTTAAACATTAAATAATTATGCTTTAGCACAGCTTCAAAAAGTGGCTTGTTTGTGTTTTAAACCACAATTCATCATGCTGGCTAGGAAGCTTGGAGAGATAAAGTCAAAAGAGAGAGAGACAGAGAGAGAGAGGAGCAGGATTTTCCAAGCTCTGTGTTGTTCCATTTGCAGCAAGAAGATTTTACCTGAATTAGTATTTCCGAGTAACACTGTAACAAAGATGGTGTTCTCTGTTCATGACACTTACCACTAAGTTGGTGTTCGACAATATTACTGTCCATGATGGCTGTCCTGAGTTAGAGCAATTGCCTGGAAGAACAGACAAATGGAGATTGAGGAAAAAAGGGATGGCACCACAGAGACAATGCAGCCCCGTACAGAGACTGACCAGAGGTTAACATGAGACCATCTCTACTCTTGAAAGGTCATTAGAGGCCACTCCTCTTCATTCTCATGATAAGTAAAGAAATTAGTAGACGTTTCTTCCACTCCCACGACCCTTAAATGCTACTCCACACAAACATTTCACTGTATACTTGTAAGAATATTCCCTTTATTAACCCTTTTGGCCTTTTTTCATTATAGTTCCTACATACAGAGTTCGCCCTAAAGGAGGCATGAACAAAATTTGGTTCCCCATAGATCACGGCATTGGCCACCTCCAACATGCCTCACAATAGATTATGCTGGCCAGGGCAGATGGAAGTTGCAGTTTAACAACATCTGAAGGGCCACATTTTCCTCATCCTTGAGCCAGAGGTTAAGTTAAACACTCTCTGTACTGTACAATGACTTTTCATCACCACAGATGTGTGAATCTGTTTATGTATGATATGAAGTCCTTATGGCCTCCTATTGGCTGCTTGTTGAACAAACACAGTTAAGATAATAATATTCCATATTTGCACCTATTGCATTTCTGTTCTCCTTCATTGAATTCTCCCTCAAGCATGTTTACACCAAGAGTCTACCACTGGGTTTTCACTAACACCTCACACAGTCCTCCACCTGTCTGCTCATTTGGATGACAACCTCATCAGTTCAATGGGACTTCCTCCCATGTATGTGCGAATGCTGTACAGTGCATAGGATTGTTCAACCCATTGTGACTTTATCTCTTTCAGTCCATTATGACTGCATAAATAAGGGGCAATTACTACATAATCACCATGCAATAGGCCGAAAGTCAACAAGTATAGCTTTCCCCAGTAAGAGATGGAAGAAACTTTAATTTCTATCTGCTAGACAGCTATTATAAGCTTCTGGCCAGAAAAAGAGATGGGAAACCCTACTGGCTACAATTTTTTTTAGTTAATATGCATCACGAGAGCATCATTTTAGGTCTGCTGCATACAAGATTACTGTAACATAGTTGCTGCTAAGAAACAAAGCCAATAGGGATCTCACTTTGCATAGCTGGCCTCACATTAAGTGGCTTAATGCCATTCAAGCTGATTCCAACCAGTGAAAGCTGCTGGAGGAGGAGATTCTTTGCAGAGATAAGAAGTTACTTTCTTAGATTGCAGCCAAATGCGGCAGCCAGCACTTCTAATGGCTGCAGCCAAAAGAGTAACTTTTCTCATCTCTTGCATTAGTAAGGTTAGCCTCACATCTGCAACCCAGAGGTATCAGTTATTTTCACTACTGGGACAGGGTAAACTGAAATTAAGAACAGATTAAACTTTATGTGCATGATTTTGTTTTGAAGTTAGTCCCAGGTGGTTTTCATGAATGACAGCGGGAGAACGGGTGTCACCACCCTATTTGTTTGTTTGTTATGTTTCTTTGTTGAGTAGAAGTGGGGGCAGTTGTTGCCCAGAAATGACTATGGCCATAAGCTTGAGTTCTCTGCAGCAGATGTACCCATCACATAACATATTAATTAGACCTTGCAGCTTGCATTAGGAAACATTTCCAATAACCAGCAACCTCCTGATGAGCTGGTAGACAAAACAAGTTTAGCATCTCAGTCAGTGTCCTAGGAATTGATGTGAGATGTGATCATCCCCTGTCTCAAGTACTGCATGAGTCACTGGCACATGATGTTTTGTGGAAGTGCTTTATTAAAACCTTATTCTCCAATAGGTCATCTAGGATTAGAGGTCACTGATTGTTAGAAAAGTACTGGTGCGCTGCACCCTGCCAGCCAAGAAGGGACTGATTTACCTTTCATTCTAGAACGCTGTTCCTTTGTTTACAGGAAAGAATTACTGCATTGTTCTACCTCATGTCTTGTAATAAATGACTCTATAAGGATTTGCCTGAGACTGTCCTGCTTAGCCTCTATCTTTTCAAGTGTTTAATAATAACCAAAGTATATTGCATCAAAAATCTCCACCAATGATATTCATTACAACTTTTAGCAGGTGTCATGCATGTGGCCAGGCTGTGCTAAGAAATTCTCAGTATCTTGCAAACTCAGTGTTAGCTAAGATGCTGAAGAGATAGATTCAGGACTCTTTTCTGCCATAAAGACCTCGAAATCTTTATGAATTCTGCCTTATGAACTTTGCTATATCTCAAGTCCTTCTCAAATTAAGAAGAGCAATGCCCGACAGGATAAAAACCTGGCCACACAAACAGACACATTTAATGATTGCACAATTCATAATAGATTTTTAAAAAATGAAATAATTTCAACTCTCTTGGTGTCTTTGTTTTTCAAAATGGCATATACTGTATGTATACATTGTCATTAACCTCCACTGGACTCTGAGATGCCTTTGCTATGCTAAGACAGAAGCAGCAAATTATTGACAGTTGAAGGCAATCATGAAGATCAGAGATAGTCTGTTTCTAATTTCCATGAAACTGGATATTTTTTAAAAAACTATAGTAGCACACTATAAATGAATTAAAGGCTCTTTTAGGATTCGTCCATACAATTTTTCCCCGCTTTCTAAACCATACAGAGCCTTAGAAGACAAGCATTTATCACTGAAGCCTAGCTATGAGAAGGAACAAGCAACACCTCTCAAGGAAGAGGGTGAGCCATCCCTTCAATTGTCCACTAGCAAGAGCTATGAGACTATTTATACCACACTGCCAACAATGGCCCATCTATGACTGCAGAAAAAGAACAGGGCAGAGAGAGAGGAAAAGCACAGGAAAACAAGACAAATCTCTCAATAGCAGAGGATACTTGGTAACGGAGGTGGAGGAGGGAATAAAAGGAGAGGTGGATTGGGAAAAGGACATAGAATGGGAGGAGGAGGACAGAAAGAGAGAGAAGGAGGAGGACATTCTGATAGGATAGGGATGGCTGGAAATGGAGGATCTCTGGACTTGGGAGAAAACTAAGATGAAACTTCCCCTCAAAGAGATAGTGAGGGGTCAGCAATACTGCCCGGCAAACAGAACAGAGACTAAAACAGACAGGGAAAGAATAGATCCCATAAAGGGAGAGAAGGGAGCATTGTCGTACAATTGGAAGGGGCTGAGCCTATAGAATGGACAGTGTATGTGTATCCCAAAAAAGGAGATCTTTGGAAGAAGGAGAGCTGACCCACCCCAACCAGCCCCAGCTAGCCTGCAAGTCCCACCAAAAGGGAATGGAATGGGCGAGACACCCAATTCTGCGGGACTATTTGTCCCAGCCTAAGGAATCCTACATGGAAAACCAATGACCACGAGTGATTTGGGGTGAACCCTCATTGGTAAATTCTTTTGCCAAATCCAAATGGAAAGATTGTTGGTTCAGACGAAACCTGTTGGAAGAGCCCATTGGCCCAATAGAGGTTGTTGTTTATGACACTTCTTTGTTGGTTACCCAATTCTGCGGGACTATTTGTCCCAGCCTAAGGAATCCTACATGGAAAACCAATGACCACGAGTGATTTGGGGTGAACCCTCATTGGTAAATTCTTTTGCCAAATCCAAATGGAAAGATTGTTGGTTCAGACGAAACCTGTTGGAAGAGCCCATTGGCTCAATAGAGGTTGTTATTTATGACACTTCTTTGTTGGTTAAAAAAACGTTGGTTAATAAAACGGTTTTGTGTAAAAAAAAAGAACCTTCACCACTTTTGGGGGCTAAAACCGCGGAACCGTGGGAAGCGAGACCTGAACCCACTCACACCAGCACATTGCATTTTTCTGACAGTACCTGCTGCTTTTAGCTAAGGAAGGATCCGTTCATTTTTAGTAGCTGTAACTTCATAATTTTTGCTGTAGAACATTTTATATCACGCACTGAAACTCGGTTATTTATTTACATACTGATACTACACTTATGAGCAACTGTATGACGGTAACATTGTTTTCATGGTTCAGGTTTTTAAAAAGTATACTGTGGACTTCTGAAAGCTTAAGTACAAATAAGTACATAGGGAGCATGTATCACGGAGTCCTCCGGCAGGCAACATACCCGCTAAATTTCAGCCCTGTTGGGTTGGGCTCCACCTCTTCCATTCATGACTTCTCCCTTGTGTGCATGTGCAACTCTGCCCCCCCCATGCACAGGGTTCCGTTGTGGCCAGAACCAAAGGGGCTGCACAGAGGAGAAGGAAAGATGCACGGAGGGAAGCGGAGTTGTGCATGTTCACACAGCCACATGCCTTAGAGGGATCCTTGCTGGCAGGTAAACCCTTTTCTCCACTCCTCACCACACCCCAGACAACTGATTACGCCACAGAGGACAGGGCCCTCTTTTCCACCTTGTTCATATCTTATCAAAATTTTACTAATAACCCTGCTCTTTAGTTTGTCCTCATTATTTCCCCATCACTTGTCTCATTTTCTGTGTACAAATGATTCTGTTTTGGATAATACACAGCCAAGTCTTTTCACATGGAGTTGGCCTTATTCAGAGGTCACTACAAAATAGACAGATTATTCCAGAGTTAGTAAATGGATTCCTCCAGCTAAAAAGGTTTATTAACAGTATAGCCTAGAGGAACATTCTCCCTTAGCACATCAGCACTCTGCCGCTCTAAATTCTGTTATACATAGCCTGCAATTTGTTTCAATGCAATACATAATAATAATTAATGGGATCACTGTGTATTTTGTTGGGGAGGATTAACTGCGAGGAAAACTCCTCTCCCAGTGACTTAATTTCACTGGAGAGGAGAAAGAACAGAATCATCCTTTGCTGACTCTCAAGGGCAAAGGCATTTAGGCACAGCTACTTCTGAACATAACCTCCTGAGCCACTCCTAGATGTTTTCCAAGTTATTCACCAGTGGCGAAAAGATGAACGAATATATCTCTTTATGAGGTACATGGAGGGGATGGAGAGTAGGGGATAATTTAATCTGCTTTAATACAGGTATTTTACTGATGGGAAAGGGGGTTTCCATCTCTGCCAAA